TCTTCTTCTTCGGCATCTGCATGGGATTCGAATAAACACGGCGTATCGAGGACTCGATCCCGCCTTGAGAATCAAGCTCAACGCCAAGGCAGCTCATCAAGGTATAGACACCACTTCTAGACGGCCACCTGTTACTATTGCGCCGAGACGTTTTGTAAAACTCATTTCTGAATTGACCACGCGGTTTGCACGCGGTTTCTTACATGAAATTTTTGAAACTACGTCTGACTTCTGTCGGTCTTTCTTTCCGAAGGTCAGCTCGCCCAGTCGGATCTAAAAACAGACCATCCGTGTCTTCATTTGAACTGAAACCTCGAGATATATTGTTGGCAATTCTCATTTCAAAATGAGCCTGACGTTAATGTCATTGAGGCGGAGTGAGACAGGAGCTGAAGTCCCAGCTTCATGAGAGAGCATTGGTGGCGAGAAATTGATGAGCATTTAACGTGCTGTTTTAGCTGAGATGATACGAGGATAGCGTAAGATGCTGCTGAGTACGCGAGCAAAGATAAGCCCCTGGCCCACCATCTCAGCTTATTGGGCTGATAGAAGCTTTGTTAGGTATCTATATGAAGATATTCTTCCAGTCCACCAAGGGCTGTCACACGAGGCAACATATGCCTTGTAATCAGCAGCCAAATCACCTTACTTTAGGATGGGCTTAGAAAATGATGGACCGCATGCAGGGGCATCAGATATCATTTGCGTTTGATTGGCCCCAGTATAACAGATCGTTTTGCACACTCTATGCTTATCTGCAACGCTAAAGCCATATCGTAGATTTTTTCCTTCATTCAAAATTGACAAGGTCAATTACACTCTTGTGTATCGGTAAACCAAAACTCCACTGACAGTTCTCTCAGGTTTACGTGTAAATGTCTGATACTAGATGGCGTGGAAAGTCAAAAGACTCTTTAGCGTCTCGCCTCTTCAGCCGCTGGTATCGAGATGAATACCGTGGTCGATTTGGCTGACGCTGACGCTCACGATCCATGATCATACAGTGCAACGAGGGTGTACTAGGTAACAAGGGATCCATATCTAGATAAAACAAAGATAGTCACAAAATTGATAAACACAGCAGAGAGTATGTCCAGCCCTCCATCCACGAATCCCGCGTCTAAAGCCATGGGAATCAGAACGAATAGAGAGACCAGTTTGCAATTATTTTTTATCTGGGGCATGATTGACGCTGCGATTTATCCATTGATGAAGGGACTCGAGCAACACGGGTATAAATTTCAGATCATGCCAGCCGCACGAAGAAAAAGAAAAGAAAAAGAAGAGCTTTGCTCTAGCGCGGCGAGTGAAGAATTTATAGGCTTGAAGACGTGGGCCGTGAAAATTTCTGTCGCGCTTAGTCATCGACGCGCTCGTTCGGTCGAGATGGCCCGCCCACACTTTAGCATACCTAGGTTTCCACTTTGAACAAGTAAACTCCAAGTCTAGTGCTAGCAAGATAACAAACTTTACAAACCGCTGTTCAATAATGTTCACATTTGCTTGTTGTCTATGTGTAATCATATCATAGTGAGTACTAAACATGAGGCTCAAGTTGCCTAGGCATCTCCAAAGGAATAGATAGTCGTACTTGTGAACGAAATTACAACTTAGCATATGAAGACTCTTTATGTGACATATAGGAACTATGAGACTCGATATCATAATAGGTGGCCAAAAAAAGTACTCAGGTTGCAAAAAACTGTCTTATTCCTCCTATTATAGTAGAATGGCACAATAAAAGCCTGGCAAGTACACTTAAATGACTATAGACAAAAACGCTCAATGGGTATCTCAAAATATCATAATATCATAATGCTCAACCTCCGCAGCTTCTTCACATCACGCCCAAGCTCACCTAGACTGGGAGATGAGTCTGACAAAGACTTGGCCGAGACTGCTTGTGGGCAACGCCGTTGTTTTCTCTGAGCTACGCCGCTGCACCCAGCCCTGCCAGGTTAACGACCATGCCCTCGGAAATTTACAACCTCATGGCGCTGCTTCAACTACGCCGCTGCACCCGGAAACCCTGCCAGGATAACGACCATGTTCTGCGTTTAGACACGGCATATTTCTTTCATCGAGCTACGACGCTGCACCCGGCCCTGCCAGGATAACGACCATGCTCTCAGTCAGAACGCCGTGTCAGTGTTTCTTTCGATCTAACCGCTGCACCCAGCCCTGCCAGGATAACGGTCATGATCTCAGAAACTCCCAACAGCCTCATGCCTCAGAGTTTGTCTTCCATTTCAATCCTTAGGTCGAACGGGGCTTGCCCAAAGCATCCAGCTCCCAAAGCGTAGACGATTTGGCTCTCCTCGAAGACCTGGTATTCAGATTGTTTCGAGAAGAGATTGCGCGTGACGTTGGTGATTTGGATTTTTGTTTTCGCCGTTTTCGTCCACCGTCATTATTCTCCGGAACTTGCTCTTCCAGAACCTTTTCCGAGTCCCCCCCAGCTATATGGTCTGTCGAAACAGATGACGGTGGGTGTGACAGACTCTCTATTTTCTGGCGCTTAAATCCATTATCGTCTTCGTCATCGTCAGCCCTAGATCTTTTCCTTGATGCACTCCCATTGGCAGCTTGTATAAAAGAGGTGCGAGTAGTCGGAGAGATCGGGGCGGTTTCGGCATGCGCGAGAGTATTCTCTAGTTTTCGACGTTTAGGCTCATGAATGTTGACATCTTCATCGTCGTCAAATCGGACCCTCTTCTTAGCCGAATTCGTACTGCTGCTTTTAGACGAGATGCTCGACCGCCTTCTCTGCCCATCATGTGTCGCAGTCTCATTGCCCTCCTCCAGGTCCCGTGAGTCGTTTGATACGAGTGATGGGACTCGCTGTATTGAAGGAACATCGTCATCGGAATTCAGGGCATGTAAAGCGGCATCGTCGGATGCACCTGCCAAAGACTCGATATTTGTCCTAGTGAAAAAATCACTCTCCCCATGGCGCACTTGCCTAGCCTTGTACTCCTTGTCGTGCCAATACCCCCAGTCGATATCTTGAGGAGGCTGAGAGCACCACGCATCAGGCATCCTTCCAGTACGGAGATATTCTTCATATTTCGGGTCGGCAGAGGGACTTTGGCTTATTTCCCTGATTAGCGTCTCTGTCTCATCTTGGACGAATACTAATCCTCTTTCTTGTTGGAAAGAATTTTCTTCTGCATGATTCTGTTTCTCCACGACGATTTTCGCAGATTCCATTTCTGCTTTCCGGTCGAGGATATAGCCATTTAACAATCTGACAAGGTGTTCAAGGCAGCCGAGATTTTGCGCATCAGAAGCTGCACTATGAACAGCGCGGGTTGGGAGAGTCTCTTCAAGATCCCAGTACATATTTTTAAGCATAGACCGTAACTCTTTATGTCGTCGTTTGTTGTGTTCCTCAAATTTCCGATCAAATTCTTGTATACTTCTGGAATCTTTTGCGATTGTCATAGCGATCCTAAAATAGTCTTCCTTATCAAACAATGGAATGCGAAACGTATTGAATCGGTGCCAGTATTCTCCCCAGAGGTGATCGGGGCTGCGCATGCCAGGAGGAGCGGCCTCAGACCATTGGGTGTTTTTTGTGTTCTCATTGCCCGGACACGGCGCGTCGAAGCGAGCCATGGTCGGCGTATCTTTGATGTATCGCTCGATTCGCGGTCGCTGTCGGATGTTGATGATGTCTGGGTGCTATTGATCGAGCCAGGAATAATCTAGATATTCGTTGTAGATGGCTAGAGTGTTATGGTTATGTGTGCTGAGATGAGGCGTAGTGCAATTCCGAGGGCCTCCACGGGCTGCCCTTAGTCAGCCTGTTCAGTGATGCTACAGTGGAGCACGTTTTGGCGCGAGTCGTACTTGTCAGACGTTAATAAGACGCAGCGAATCACGCATGAAAGTGAACACACTTTGCCTACACGGAGTGCAGAGTATTCTGCGCCTCTTTAGCGACACCCTGTTAGTGAACTGCTGCTCTTATACATGTGTTATCATGGCAATCTGAGGGTCCTCACCGATTTCCGCCTGTTCATGGTAACACCCATGTTATCCAATACGCCACTTAGTATCAAATCCACTCATATTCACTGTGGCTTCTGGCAAGGAACTGCCCGCTTTTAGTGCCCGGCGTGGCACCAGATAGCGTCTCTTATTGTATGGCGCATCTGAAGCTCCTCCTCTGGCGTTTTGATGCCTCTGTTCAGCGCTCCTCTGCAGCGTGTATAAGTATGAGGCGGTGGCCGTGGTGTATTTGATTTGAACTCGCGGATGAGACAGCATTGGTACTTGAGATCTTCAATCTTATCGAATTTCACGGACTGTTCTTCTTCATCTCAAACATATCCTGCGCATGCGAAGCCAGCAACATGTCTGAGCCCAGTAGCGCATCAATCCGGTCGGCTTCTTTTGTCACAGCCCGATCGCATATCAGCGTCTCCAACTCTCATTCCTCCCAATGGCCGACAACTCAGCTAAAGCCTCGCGCATTAGCCGCAGCTGAAGAGATAGGGAATCAAGATCATGCTCTGAAATCCTCTCAGCCTAGTTTCGGCTCTGCGACGCAGATTGAGCCACGCGTTATTGCCTATGAAGCGGCGTTGGCTGTCGAAGAAGCACGCGAGGCTGCGAGATTAGCTGCGATATTGGCAAAGGCTCCAACCACCGAAGAGATCGCTGCACTATTTACTGACGCTTTGCCCGATGTGCAAGATGCTCGAATGATTATAGCCTCAACCCACTTTCCTGATGACACAAGCCAAAACTCATCCATCATACCCCTCCCATACAAAGCCACGAGGAGGGTGACATTCGCTGTCATCCAGCAAGCTCAGGATGTGGACTTGTTTCTACACCTATCATTGAAAGATGCCAATACGGAATTTGACACTCCCATATCATGCCAGATTATCTACGACCCTGGGAGGGATCACTGTCTTCTGGTAAACCTTACAGGACCACAGTTACACTTGACAGAATTCAATTCATCTCCGGTTCTCCGAGCATCTCCGCCTCTCCGAGCATGTATTAGAGAGAACACAAGCCGCTTAATCCAGCCCGGCAAGTGGAGAATATCTATAGACGACGACAGTGAAGAATGTGGAGAGTATCATGTTGCTGAGTTTTGGCTTCGCGGAAGACAATTTGACGTCACAATTCAGACAGCACCACGACCAAAGCGAGGCATTGACGATGGCGCTGAAGAGAATGTTAACAAGCGACGAAAGCGACACAATGACCTCACAGGAACTACCTGCATCCAACCTCTAAACAAAACAGCTATGGAGCCAAAGCCTGCCGCCATTGCCACAAAAAGGGCCAAGGGTCACGATCCATCTCCATCATCATCTGTGCAAAAGATTTCCGTCAAAGCCGCTGTTCCACTTCTAGAACTCGAAGATGGAGATGAAGCTTTCATATGGGCTCTGGGAGGTAGTACTGACATATCTCAATCGGTGTCTGGAGCAAAAGGACCAGCAAGTTACGAACTACGGCGGGTTGAGCTAAAAGGAGCTACACGATCTGCGAATGTTTTTACTTGCGAACACTCCGCTGTGTCTGGGCCTGTAGTCGCCAAAGTCCTCCAATACAATAGAGATGCACCTAATAAAGTCAGAACTTCTTTGCACTTATGGAAGACAGAAAAAGCCACGCTTGAGAAGCTAAAACATGTAAGTCATACCCCAGTGTCCTGCCACTGGTATACTGCAAACGTGGTTCTAATCCCGCACAGAGGAACGTTGTAGCGCTCAAGGCGTTTGATGGCCGCATGCTTTCAATGTACCTAGAGCTTCTCCCAGAATCTCTTGATCGGATAAAATTGGTCGAATTTTCACAATCGGATATTTTTAGAATATTGCTTGATATTTCATCCGCTTTGGTGTACTTGAAGACGATGCCCATCATCCATAACGACATCAAGCCAAGCAATATTACCTACTCTTCTCAACGTGGCGCCGTTCTTATCGATTTTGGACTGGCTACAATACACAGTGAAATTAACGCGGGAGGGACACCTTGGTACCTCCCTCCAGACCTCCTTGATGACACTGCGCGTGGATCACCTGGAGACATATGGGCATTAGGCGTTACAATGCTCTACTTGCTTGGCAAGATCGAGTATCCGGAGGCAAGCGGGGACGATTGGGACATACACGAACTAGACCGCAAAGAAAATAAGAAACATAAGAATAAGATGATAGAATGGCTAGGGCACATTTTTTCTGCCAGAGCCCGGTTAACTCCAGTATACGTGGGGACTGGAACAAGCAAGCTCGAATCTATAGTGTTTAATATGCTTGAGCGCGACAGCGAACTGCGATTCGAGGCGGAGGATATTGTTTCTGCCCTCGATAAATCGATGTCTCGATTGCTTCTGGCGGCTTGAGATGGTTGTTGGTTAATAGGTACATACACATGTTCAGCAGATATGCAATAGCCGCTTTTGTTATGATATTGAAATCTTTGGGGGGAAAGAAGGGTTATGAAAGCATTGATAGAATATAGATATCCACATCATTCGAGGATGCTTGAGAGTTCTTTAATAATAATTAGTTCATTCTCTGAGGCTCATTAGTCAATGGATATGACAGTCGCCGCTGGTTCAGCGTTTCTTTTCGCTTTAGCCAAAGCATTGGAAAAAGCATACATGCCTGTACTAATATAGCGTACAAAATTCAACTACTAGAAGACGAGGAGGAGTCCACGAGTAGGCACCTCAGAGATTTAGTACATGCGGCGCAGAGAAATGCTATTTTAGCAGGCAAAGTTAACCCATTAGTTTCGTTACGAGCTTGTCTTGTGCTCCCAGCTAAACAAGTATGGGTTAGCTAAAACATTGCTCCTCGGAGTCATTGGTTGATCACTCACATATCCAAAAATAGCTTCCAGAGGATGGAAAATAGTAGGCCTTGAAGGCCATTGCTCAAGATGCGTGTAGGCAGTCCTCGTCCAAGCAGTCCCGAAATTCCGTCTTCTCTGATCACCAGCTGCACTGCCTCGGCTATAAATGTATTAGGCTGAGAATTCCTCTGAAAAAAACCTGGAGAGAAATTTTGAAGCTGCTTACTGTATGAGACTTTAGTATCATTGACCTGTCGATAAGTCTTGACTACTCTCAGAGAGTTGGAAACAGAGTCGGATATTATAGATGCGACGAATCCTATAAAGGCCAAGCGTAGCAGCCATAGGAAAAGCTCGGACTTTGGAGGCTCTGGAATGCTCTCCGTCAACAAGTTATACTATAGCAAATGTGAGCACGCAATTCATCTCTCATGTTCAAGGTAGATAAGTCATACAGTTGCAAACCAGGGATAGTGTCCAACAAAAGTCGCTCCCGCAGTGGCAAAAGCTCCCCACCACAAAGTTCCGACTCCATGCTCTTTGATGCGTTGGCGAAGCAGGGCAGTCCCACCGGCACCTTGGGCCTGGAGAGTCGTCTTGAGCGTATCGACGGGAGTGAGGATCATGCGGAAAGCAGCGGCACTTGACATGGCGCATATCAGCAACAGGGTTCTAAAACGTTAGACGGGAGCCAAGTGTGAGTATACCAAAGAGAGGCAAAAACAGTCTTGCCCAGCGAAGGCAAGTCCTTCAGATATGAGTTGGACTGCAAAAGTGCCAAGATGCCAGCGTTGGCCGCTGTGTCTCCAAATCTTGCCACGGGTCCTGTAGATGGTCAAAGATTAGACAATACCAAATAACATATAAACTACTTGTAGTAAGATAAGAAGATTACTCACCTTGTATAAGTGCAGCTCCGATGCCCGAATAGTATCGACCAAACCCGCCATCAGCATAGAGCTTTTGTGTTGCAACAGTGAACGAGAATCCAAAGCGATATTGGTAGTTCATAATCGTCCTCAGCGGCTAAATAACGCGACAAAGTCTTAGTCTTGGTCAAGAGGTGGTGGAACAGGGTGAGAGTAAATGAGATAATACCATGAGCAAAATCACTTGCAATAACATTGCTGCAGCCCCGGACAAGCCGCCGCCAAGCGCTTTCTTGAGTGCTTTACTCAAATCAAACTAAACAATACCAGTCAGAACGAAAACTCAAAGCAAAAGCAATAACAGGGTATCACAAATAGCACTAACGTTTACATCGCCATCTGCGTCAATCCAGCCTTTGATGAAGACTACAAGGACAATGGCCACAGCAACGACCCAGAATATCCTCCACAGGTACCAACTAGCTGACCTCTTTTGATCTTCCTGCTGCTCTGGATGAGACTGGCTCGACTGCTCTCCTACCAGCAAGGGCGTGCTTTCAGTGTGTCCCGTCTGGGTCTCAACATCATTCTCTCGTGTCATGACGCTAGCTCGCACGCACACCGCGATAATCTTTGGGTCAGTTTGAGATATCCCTGACAGATAACGAGAGTCTCTATATAACGAAAAGTATATGTAGCTCTCGAAAGCGACCGAAAGCCTCCCAATCTCAAAAGACAGCCCAGTGACAAATCGTGTCAGCAAGGGAGGGCGAGACTACAACTAGCGAATTAGACCGCCCCTCCAGATTGGTCATCACTGACACGCAAATGGAGATGAGAATTGCGAGATCACTATCGGCAATCATACCGGTCGGCCCGGCCCCGGAAATAATCTACTTTGGCCTCTTCTTTAAGCCCGCAGTGGCAGCGCGACCGTTGTTTAAACCACGTGGAAATGTTCAAGTTGCCCGTATCTTTGTCTATGCGTATGCAGCTGCTAATAGTATACAGAGAAAAGCCATATACAGTTTTGAGGGGTAACTAGACTAGATGTGGCTCAGTGCTAATTAAGAAATGAAACTCATGGATCTAGTATATATCAGATCATGCATAGCAGCTACACTAGTGGTTTTTGAACTACTAGAGAAACCTACAAACAGCACGACTGATTCGTGACACATGTAGGGGCACATCCGATTCGTACGATCGAGCGTGCATAAATATCTTCGAACGAATCAAGCTCAGCGCATCAGAGTCACTGTCGTTGTTCTTTAATTATACTCTGTAGCAATGATTTAAAGGCACAATTGTCCAATAGCCTTTTACTAAGCATGATAGCATGATAACCTGTTGAGATATGGCCACTTATGTAGTGCAACCACGGCTTGTCTAACAACATACCCTGTATACCTGTATGTATAATGGTGCACATCAAGAAAGCGCGTATGTTACCAGCTGCATATATAATTGAATTGATTAGGGATTATGTATACATCATCGTTGGGGAGGCACACATTCTCCCAATAAATAACCTACACACTGAGCCTCAATGGGCTCCGCCACCGATTCCGATAGCAACAGCATCGGATACGGTACCCGAGTTCACGATACCAGCCACGGCCGTGACGTATCTAAATGGTTTCAGACAATCTCTATCTGTTTATCAGCCTCTCATGGGTTCAAGTCTAAACGCCGAAAAATAGTCCGGAGTTGCTCAGCCTCACCGAACTAGAAACACATACCGAGGTCCTATTGGTGTCCATACCACCTGCTGCTCGTATACGAGTCTTACAGCATCAAAGACCGTCGGAGTATACATGTAGCAATAGCCGAGTTCCACTTCTGGCGCAACACCAAGCTTTTCTGTTAACTGCTGGCGCCTTGGCTGCATGCACTCGATGGCGATGGCAGGCATTTCACAGCCTTTCAGCACAGCCTTTGAGAAATTTTCAAGACGATAGTCTATTTTGGGCTTGGACCAGCAAGCACAATGCATCTGATTCCCATATTTCCTACCTATGCTTGGGCTATCTTGTGGGTACTTGTCTCATATCTGATGCGGTGTGGACCAGCCAGACCATGTCAGTGCTACTGTATACGAAGGGCATGCAGCTCAACAGCGAGCTGTAGGTGCTACTGGTGGAATTAAGTTTTGAGTTGTTATGCTTAAATAAGGCATGTTCAGTAAACACCTTGATTATGAGGTAGCAAGAGTCAGTATCTGGTGGGCTTAGAGTATCGTCGTCGTCATGAAACTGAGGAGAGTATACGTGGCCAGCAAAATATTCACTGTTATTTCTGCAGATCGCAGCATTGCCTCATAGTATCTACATGCAGTAGTAATCGACATTCAATGATTTATATTGAACTTTAATCATGCGGTAGAAGCTCAGCTTGTTATGAGGAAGAAGACACATTAACCGCTTCACGGATTAACAGCTCGTGTTATAAGCAATATGGACGTTTCGACACTCGCTCCGGTATTATGGAAACTATTGAGCACGGCACTTATTTTCATCTTCTTCTGCTAGTTTGGATCCTCTCGTTGCTGTCGTCTGCTACGCCTATCAAGTTGCAATACAATGCGAGGGGTGAATACACGTATAGAGCATTATGGAGACCTGTACTCTAGATCCAGACTTGTTCACGGCCCGCAGATTTCGGCAGATTGCACCAGGATGAACCGCATTTTCGTTGGCTGCCATTGCATAAGATCAAATCACTCAACTGTCTCATGTTAGTATACTGCCTCATATAACTATTTCAACAAAACCCGTCCATACCTGGGTACTGTGCTGATAGAACATGTAGTAAAAGGAAGTGAGATTTGATGCCGAATGCCGCCCCAAGAAGAGCTATGTGTATTTTGTATAGCCTGATCGAATGTTTCTTATTTGCATGTCTGCACCTGCAGAATAGCCTGGAGTATGCGAGGCGTTCCAGACCAATGGAAGATACATAGATTTTGCAGGCCAGGCTGCATTTCACCTACTTACATGGAGTTAACAAACAATCAGTGGGGGCTACAGATATGCTTTCTTTTCGTGTAAGGATTAGTGATTTGATTCTCATTTTAACTTTATTTCCAGTTTTTTTTCCTGTGATAACTCTATCTCTTCACTTTTCTATGTTCATGATGCGTTATCACCTTAATTTCTTCAAGTAAATACCCAAAACCTCACGTCATCAGCTCCTTTTTTATCCCGCCACTAAGCCGCAGCTAACTTAGCGCCCTGATTATCCATGCGGCGGGGCATTTTTAGACGCGGCGGTGGGCCCCTCCATTTAGAGGAGCTGAAGCTTGTGGTCCAATTCGCGCCCGGCACGCACCACAAAGTCAAAGTTGCGCTTCAGCTGCTATTTTGACGTCGCGCGCTCTCGTCGCCATTCTCTTGTCACTGCTCACAGCGAACTGCTATTCTGTATCTTTGATCCTCACACATAGATTGACACTCAATTCACCTTGTAACGGTCCATGATATCCATCGTCTTGCATTGATTGGCTTTCGCGCTTCTCTCTCGTCTTTCTGTTCCCTCTCCTCTCTTCGCGATAAGCTGGCCTTCGATGCCGTGACTCGCGGATCGTATTTTGTCGCTGTTCGCGCAGTCGCATCTGGACAAGGGACATAATTCTGCAGTCCTGTCTGCGCATTGCGACTCGCAGAAACGAAGCTGTTAATGACAGGCGAATCTCACTCGGCGAGATCGGCGACCAAGACCATTCGTTTGAGACAATCGAGATCGCTGCTGGTTCTCGGCGCAAGTTTAACAACACACCACGTTTTCCTCCCACGAGGCGGCCATCATGGAAAGGCCCAGAGGCCTGGCTGGCATCCCCTTTAGCGATGCCGTGATCATGGACGAGGACAGCCAAGGACGCAGCCAAGACAGCGGAGATGCTGCGTCCACCGCTGCCCAACTGCGATCGCCAATGACATTCAAGACCCGCTCGCTGTCCGACAGCACCGGCACGCCGTCGAAGCTCTCACCGAGCCCGCACATCGTCGACGCCTCGCGACGGACCTCCAAAGACGACAGCAGCCTCGATCGCCTGCAGCCTCCCGTCACGCCGCGCCGCCTGTCGATCCACGTGCCGACCCGGCAGGCATCGCCTCCTCCCGGCACTCCCTCCGGCGCCTACATCCGGCCAGCCCCGTTGTCGCCCAAGCTGGACCACTCGCACACATACGCCTCGCCCACTAGCCTCCTGCCCCGCCGCTCACGAGGCCTCGACTTCTCGCGGGCCGCGACCAGCCTCCACCACTCGATCCTGGCCGAGCAGCCGTCTCCAGACTCGTCACCTGTCATCGGGGAGCGGGGTATGAACATTCCTGCGCGGAGGGGGCCGTATGTAGGGGCAGAACAGACATCAACGTCTCTGTGGTCTATGATGGGCGATCAGGAGCGGCACAATATCAGCACTTCGCTTGGAAGCAACCATGTGGTCCCGTCCGACTCATCCAGCTCTTCTTCGGAAGACGAGGACATGGACGAGGACATGGATGAACCCTACGTAACGACGCCGCAAGTTTCTAAGACAGGCATGCCTATAGGACAGGGCTCTGGGATCGGTGCTTTGGGTTCCCCATCTATGGGCAGCCTAGCAAGCTTCCAGCACCGACAACGACATCGCAAACACCCCAAGAAGAAACCTCATGGTCCCCTCGGCCTAGGATTCAACCTTGCTTCGGCTGTCCTTTCAAAGTCACCACCTAATAACGCAGCTGCGGCGCGGGCTAGGAGAGAGAGTATAAGCTGGCAAGCGAATCAACTCCACATCTCGTCGAGAGATATCGATGAAGGCGGACCTGCAGAGGGCAGCAGTGGTGATCAGAAGAGCGTAATACGGCGGGTTGTTACACGGCGGGGGAATCTCTTGGTAAGTATTAACTCGAAATTCAGATGGTAGAACACCAACATAGCTAACTTGCTCTTAGCCCAAAGCAAAAGCATTTGCACGCATCCGGGCCGCTCTCGCAGAGGAGGGCTCACCAGCAGAGTCCGAATTCATGCGAGAAGCTGAAATCGTCAAACAAGTCCGTGAAAGCGACGAGTTCGAGCCTCACCATCAACCCGTGAACGCTGATCATAGCGCCATGACGACAACCCATTCATCACCTAATCTCACCGGCACTCAAGAAGTTCTGGAAGAGAACCCAGCAGACGACCCAATGAGTGACCTGAGCGCAGGCCTAGGAAGCAGCTTCAAGCAGCAGGTCATGAAGAATTCCAAAGGCAAACAGTTTTGGGATACCTTTTCCGAATCGAGTGGCGCAAGAACGCCGCCTCCTGGGGCAACTTTTCTGCCTCGTGGTTCGTCGTCAGGGATGAGCGAGGATACTAATATGGATTCGCCTTCCCTGAACTCTAGCGGCTTTTATGTAAGTAGATACACACATACTTCAATCTGTATCTGAGCTGCGCTAACCATCGATGATTATAGAATGGTCAACTGCCTAGTGCCGCGGAGATTACAAGGCGAATCAACAACAAACGTCGACGAGACGATGACTTTGACCCGACCAGTTTCAAGCGTCGCGCCGTCAGCCCCAGCATCAGCGTACACAACTCACCCATCATACAAAGCCCCATGCAGCGCGACGTGATGCCCTGGGGCTCACGACCCGGTAGCACCGGCGGCGACAGAGGCAGCAGCGGGCAAAGCGAATCAGGCAGCATGGGCGGAACGCCAGCGAACCCCACTGCGGGCTCAACAGGCCAGGTTAGGAAGGGAAGAGTCGGCCTTCAGGGGATGACTGACACGAATGATGGTATTATGCGAATGAGCATTGAGTGAATTATGGAGCGGGAGCACTTGAAAGATTGTAAATTACGTTGTATTTGTGACATTAACCACACCGACAGCCTGAGGAGGAATGCTGGAGGGGAGTTGATAGTTGGCTTTTATTCTGCATTGGGACGGCGTTTGATACCTGTCATGGCGGACTGGCAGAAGGGTACGAAGGGAAGCATGGGATGCAATCTGCTTAATTACTATTGAGACGAAAGGAGTGGCATATGTATATATAGACATGCATACTACTATTATGAGCCCAGGCGTTTATAATGGCCATTTTGGCATGAATTCATATGAACTTCAATAGCACTCATAATATCAATATTAATAGTAGCTGAATAATTTATTTCCATTGCTGTTCATCTCGATATATAATCTGAATGCCGCGAGTATTACAAGTCTTGTAATAAAAGTTTCTCCCCTGTTGCTATCTTTCCCCCTGAATGATGAATGCAAAATGTACCGAATAAAAAAGCAGCACAAAAAATCCAAACGCCCATATCATTACTTGACATAGTCCATTTTCTCTCTTCTTCATCAGCATTCATCAGTCTTCCCCCCCTATACATGCGCCGGTCCATGCAGATCAATGACACCAATGCCCTCCTCGGGCACTCTCAACGTCCCAAGCTTCTCATCCAACCACCGCGCCAGTTCTGCCGCGTGTCTCCTCATAGCAACCACAGGCGCAGCGCTCGCGCTCTCCAAGCTCGAAGTCGTCAGTCCACCCGCGCTGATCAAGCTTTCAACCTCGCTGGGACTGCCGACCCCATCGCCGTTTTCGTGATGCGTGTGCGATGATGAGTGGTCCTGCAGGTTATACGCCGCAGGGCCCACGCACACAAAGAGTAGGCCGCATTTCAGACGGCGGATGAGAACGGTTCCCTCGCTGAGCTGGACAGTAATAGTGACCGGCCGGATGGTATGTCTGGATCTGGACCGCGTGGGGTCGGATGGATCGGCCGCGTCGCCCTGGCTGCTGTGCTCGTCGAGGTCATGGTAGTGGTCGCTACCATGGGGGCTTCCGGGGGAGCTGACGATGGGATCGGGCGTGCGCGATCCGGGCAGGGCTGAGGGAATGGCGGCGGAGGAAGAGGTGTGGATGGCGAGCAGAGAGGCCGCGACGGTGGCGTGGGTTCGCAGCACGGTGACGGGCTGGGAGGAGGCGTGGGCGAGGAGCTTGCCCTGGGAGGTGGTGAGGAGGAGGGTCGGCAGATGGGCGCTTTGGTGGGAGTGCAGGAAGGCGTTGAGGCGCTTGGTGAGGAGGAGAGGCGGCGTGGCGCTGGGAGCCGCCATGGTTGCGGCGAGGCGAGGCGAGGCGAGGCGAGTCGCGGAAGAGCTGGAATTCTGGCCTTGCTCTTGGTGTCTGGTTTGTGGTTGTGGTGTTTCGGATAACTAAGCAGGGAGCGTGGAAATCATCGACGTGCGAGAGACTGGGCGGAAGAAGAAGAAGAAGCAGCGAGAAGCAGCGAGAAGCCGAGGACGAAAACGAAGGCAGGACGGCACCCGCGTCACGAGCCAAGCTGTTTGCTTGCTCTCCTTGAAAGGAAAGGAGCTGGCCAGTCGGGCGAGAGAGTCGGAGACGCCTCTTTTTGCTCTATAGTCGCTTTGTGCCCTCACACGAGGATGTCGTGTAACAAAGAGGGCGCTGTTCCGAGAAGCAGCTTACTGTACTTGCTGTGAGACAGACACACGAGACTTTTGAGGTTGGAGGAGGTACAGTAAGAACAGGGCATGGAGGAATGACTGCTAGCAGCAGCGTTAGCTGAGCTGCGAGGTGTTAGCGGACTTCTGGATTGGTTCTAGCGGTTGCGCGGAGCCAGGGTTCGCTAAATCCCCGCGGTTTGCGACTAGAGCGCGTCTGTGCATGGCTGTAAATTGGAGGATGTGAATGCGTCGAGTCAATACTCCGTACATACGTGTACATTGATGTCAAGCATCAGTGATCTGTTGATGCTGTGCTGTAGTATTCACTGGCTCTAGAGATGATAGTGACTGTAAACATCTGTCTTGATGCTGTCAAATTGGGCTGAATGTCTTATTACATCATTGACTTTGTCGATACAATTGATGCTTACCCCAAGCTGTTAGTGCCACTGGCGTGTGGAGGAGGGGACTTGAGTTTACAGACACGAGGGGGCTTGGGCCAAAAACGTGAAGCTATCTTGTCTATTCGAACTCTTGCTGAAACTCTAACAAAATACGACTGTCCCTCTCCTCTCATGTTACAACGAAATTAACCACACATCATTACATACGAGTAATTGCATCGTTTATCCGAGCAAATGATGCGCGAATATCGCTCCCTCGAGGCACCACCATTCTTTAGCGGCATGCAAGCTAAATGATGCCCGTCTTATTAGATCCAGAGCGAAGAGCTCCACACAAACTTGCGCCGAGGAACCATGGCCCAGTTTTAGCTGTGCGTCTCCATGTTCGTCTTTGCGCCGCATCTCGCCGCCATGTCGTCTTCAATGTCCTTGTACAGCTTGCCCTCCTCGCTATGAAGCTTCCACTGCTGATACTGCTCCATCACGGCCATGGTCGTCGGCAGGACGCTGTTGATATGTGTGTCACTGCCCGTGCGAAAGTCGAGCAGGTATCGCACCGTGTCTTTTAGTTCGTCCGAGTATTGCGACTTGACCAGATAGCTATCGGTGTTGAGGGTTGGCTGCCGGCCGGTCATCATGGTGAATATGACAGACCCAATGGCAAAGAGTTCATCGGCGACGGTATAAGGGCGGTTCTCCTATGCCATGGTTAGCTTCCATCATAAGATTAATATTTCATCAAATAAATGTAGTGAAACATACCGCCGTGTACGTCTCAGCGCCAAGCAGCTGTTGGCGCGTCGTATCCAAGGTCTCATTTCCACGATACGGCGCCATCGCCATACTGACTTCAACATCTTTATCCGTGACATCTTCTGCATTGGGTGTAATCACATGATTCGTCACCACTGCATGCTCAAAGTTGCCCAGCTTACACATCCCATACGTCTCAATGCCACGAGGTTGCTGAAAGAAGATGTTCCTCGGCTCCATCGCCCGGTGCAGGATTGGAAGCCAATCCTGATCCACAGATGCCCATATCTTCGTCGCTTCTCCTGCCGCTGCCTCTGTATCTAGAAAGAGTCTCTTTCCATCGTGGAGGTACGTGATGGCGCTGAGAAGCGACGTCAAGACATGCCAGCAGAGTGACTCGGGCAGGTAAAACTTGGCAGACTCACAGGGCTTGCTTTGGAAAAGAGCACTGAGGTTTGAAGCGTCGCAATAGTCCCATACGATATACTCTTCGAGGCGCGCGCGCTCTGAAACTGGCGCCACAGGATGCGTCTTAATGTAGCCGGCGATGGAAATGATGTTTTCATGATTGAAGATTTGAGCGATAGCCGAGCCGACTTTCGAGCTGTGGAAGAGAGTGTAGAATGCAGAGGCTTCGTCAATGGTTTTCTGCTTGTCGGTGCCTTCAACGTCGGAGCCGTTCAAAATACCAAAGGGCTGAGCAATGTATTTCAAACCAGGATCGTCTTTCTTAATGGCGAACAAAGTGCCTTGACCCGTCTCTTCAAGCAGTTCAAACTCGGACGTCGTATAGTCATTTTGGGGTGCCATTGTGATGATGGTCAAGAAGAGAGAACATAGAGTAAAGACAAGATGATGGATAAAGGTAAAACAAGGTGAATGCCATTTTCTTGACACAGTCTTATAAAGGAATCATGGTTACAGTCTTGAAAGCTTTATAATTGCTAATTTGATCATCTTCATTTCCCATTCTTTGTTTATCGCTAACAAAGGCTTACACGAGCATTGCGCTTCATTGCGCAAGCCAGTTCTTTGTTCGAACAACATCGTCGACACCCACAACCCCCTCATCGCCTTCAAGAAAGAGAAACTAAAAAGAGAAAGGGACGAGTAAAGGGAAATACCCTGCGTTGAAAAACCTTCAACCATCTGAACATCTTTGTGCCTTTGCCATCTTCAATTGAACAACAACCACACAACTCTTTGCGTATTTTCTTAATCACTCAAAATGTAAAGGATGTAAAACATGTAGTTGGGCAATAGATGCCAACTAGAACTGAAATATAAACCATCACATAATCCGGACTCTTCTCTCTATACTGCATCTTCTGCAATCAGCACTTTCGTGACAGCTTCTCTCTCAATGATATTGTCTTACAGCCAATACTTTTCACTTTTCGTATAAACTACCATCGCCATGGAGCCAACTTACACCATTGAAGGCAACGGGGACACGATCTTCATCCTTTGTGACCCCGATCGACCATTCGAAGAAGTAGACCACGAAGACTTGTGGTTCAATCATTTGCAGCAATATGACGATATCACTACCGATAAAAGCCACTTGCGAGATAATGTTAAAGACTATCGTTATCGTTTGCAAGAGACCAGAGTCAATATCCTACCATCAGCACGAAAGAATATGGGCAGACAAGTATCATGGCGGGTCTCTTCAGAGAAGCTGAAAAATGCATCTGTGTACTTTCGAGACCTTGCAACTCAAGACTGGAATGAGGGATCCGAGCAGGGCTACAAATATACCATTACCGTCGAAGGGTGGAATGAAGCGGCATTGCATAAACTAATACTTAGAATTCATGGTCAGGATGCTGCTCTCAATGAACTGCAAGTCAACCCCAAGCTCTGTGCTCAGCTGGCTGTCATTGTTGATGCCTACCAATGCTACGACCTGTTTGAGCTAAGCTTTCCAGCAGTGCCTGGGCGATATCCATACAATGAGAACCTTTTATTCTCGCTGTTTTCATCTTGGGTATTTCGCGACGAGGAAAACTTTAGGGTGTTTTCCAAAGCCATCATAACGCAGGCTAGGGGTCGTATGCATACTTTAGGCATGCCCATACGAGAGCCTATTATCAGTGAGTTCCTCTTGTCAAAAATTACGAGTGCCTCCAACTGTTACTATCATTTTTAGTCTGTATGCTGGAGCTAACTCGAGTCTTAGATGCGATTGAGAAAAGGAGACAATTCTACATCGCCGAAATGGTCAATTTTGCTAATGGTAAACTGCAAAAGCTCTTGGCTTGCGATCAAACCGCTGGTGACCATCTCGAGGATACCTTGGCTTTCACATTTGGCGAATGGCCGTTAAAAGCGCCATTCGAAGGGTTCGGCGCCATCAATGTCCACAGGGCCCTAGACCAGATTGGAAGCTGGGATGATGTACAACTCGGCGGCTGTCAGTATCAGACTGATTCATCTTCCGAAATGGACTCCTCGTCAGAAGTGGATTCTTCTTCAGAAATGGACTCTTCCATGACTGACAGCAGTCTTTATCCGGTGACGTTGAAAGAGCTAAAGGAGGACTGGGAGGGCTTGAACGTGAACGCTTTGCCTATAGATGTCTGATAATAGGCGCCGCAGTTGTTTTAGATTCGATTTAGTTGGAGATCTGCCAAGATGCTTGGCGAGGTTGGCGTTTGCATGCATTTTGGGCTGGGGTTGTTGGATTACTTGTTGCTATTGATTTGGATAGAATTGAGAGATAGAATGATACGTTTTCTATAAATGCAAGAGTATATATACTGAGATGAAGCGATTATACCACTGAATGCTCAATTGAATTGAGGTGGTGAGGTTTGAAGCTTCAAACACATTCATGCCAAGCATGCCATTACACGTAAATTAAAACTCCACGAGGCATCGTCCCCGCGGTGCGTGCCGCGCTTGGCCTGTGCTTTCAGGATAGCATGGGTGGTTTTGAGCAAAAAGTGCCATCACAGCAGCGATTCGAATCCTCGCATAGTATGAGATAGCAGTATATATCTATGTCATATCACATTGATATCAGAGATGTGGTATGGGCTAGTGTTAGTAGGAGTCTACATGTACACAGAGCTGAGGCTAAGATCGAATGGATGTTTCAACAAAACGAGCCGTCGGAACAGGGCTGATGTCACTACGAGCATGGCGCGTTTCAAAGGACTGGCGCAGGGCTGGACATGTATGCCTCGATACAGCATGGGGAGAGCGGGATATTCTGGATCCATGGATGGAAGCAGAAGGTGAGGTTTGGCTTGATGCCGCCCATTTAGCGCGCTCCGTAAATTACAGCTAATCTGCCGCGCTATTGCCGCTCCATGGGTGATTCGATGCTACTCGTCAACATCTCCAACCGACCGCTGTGCTATAATTGTCGTCAAGTATGGAATTTACATGCATTCGATAACCACTCATTTCCATCTTGTCCTTCAGCGCGCCAAGCCAACAAACAGCACCACGGCCTTGCCGCTCAGCACGCCTCGTCCTGGATAAAAGAACAAGCCGCTGCTGGCCTCAACTTGAAACCGGAAGCAGCCAAAGATCGCCGCCCCAAATGCAACCAGCGCCAGCTTCAAACCCCAGCAGGGGTGTCCCCCCAAACCGCGCGCCAATCACAGGCCACAGGTGCCTGGGCGTTCCGCTGGTAGTGCTGAGGCGATCGGCTGCCCAGCGGCCATTCAGAACGGCTGCGGAGGGGGGAGGCCTGCAGGGGCGGTTTCAAAAGATGATGCACTCTATTGTTTGAAATGGTGGAATTTGTCTCATCATCTGAGCAATTCGTCCATCTGTTTGTCTCTTTCTGCCTACTCTATCTGACGGTCAAAGCGTAAGAAGGGGAAA